CAATTTTGGGTTTGGAGCCTCTCCAATCTTGTATGTTAGAGATATATATATATTCTACATATACCCCACAGTATACAATAGCTTTCTTGGCTACAGTCCATTCAGGAATACTCAAGTCTTCTAACTTAAATGCCTCTCCTTTAACTGCACACTTTCACCCAAGAGAAGAGTGTTTTCAGTAGATATAGAACATCTCTTCCTCAAGACCCAGGGGCTCCTCCATTATGTCTTAATAGTGATATTTTAGTTAACACAAAATAACTCCAACTTCGATTGTATTACCTTAACTTTCCTTGGTGTTTCTTAGCTGATTGAAATTCTTTTCTAAGAGGCTCTTTAAACAACAGAAATATATATGAAGCTATTTCCTTGAAAGCTAACACTAACATCACTCATATCTCAGAACAAAATTTACATTCAAACATTAATTGATCTGTTGTTGATTATCTAAACTCACCATTCTTATTCCTTCAGAGATGGCCTTTGGATCATCTTACACCAATTGTTAACTTTAATAAGTTTTAACCATTAATCATAGCTTGGAATCTACTTATGACAGGCCACATGAATTTACCATATACCACTTAGTAATAATCATGTTCTCTTCCCCAGTGACTTCTTTTTTAGTCTCTTTATTCCAAATTGCAGCTCTAGAAATGTACGTCCATTTACCATCATGATATAACTGCACGACAGTAAGGGGGGATGAATCTTTCCAAATAAGGTTATAAAATGTATGCTTCCTGACATGTCTATGGCTTTGGCCTTTCAACATGGGTTCCCTTAACTGTCTTCATAGATGCTATTGAAAAAATTTTAGCATTTATGAAATCTGAAATCTGTCTGTTTTGACAAATTTTCTTTATCCATAGAAATATAAGTATCCTGTACAAAAATGCTGTCTTGTTTTAAGACTCCTAGGCTGATAAATGAAATATGTATGTCTATGATTAGTCTGTCTTTTAGTTATAGGTAGGTTCATATAAATTTGTGAATATATAAATTACTCCCTTTATGCTGTCTGCTTTATTTTATGAGGGTACTTCAAAAAGTTCATGGAAAAATTTGCATTTTAATTCTGTTTTTCTGTGAACTTTTTTTTTTTTTTTTTTTTTATTAAAAGATGACCGGTAAGAGGATCTTAACCCTTGACTTGGTGTTGTCAGCACCATGCTCTCCCAAGTGAGCTGACTGACCATCCCTATATAGGGATCTGAACCCATGGTCTTGGTGTTATCAGCACCACACTCTCCCAAGTGAGCCACAGGCCGGCCCTTTTCCGTGAACTTTTTGAAGTATCCTCATAACCAAAATTTAAGAGCTCTAACTCCTAAAGAGATACTATTGCCTGAGAAATTCATGTCATGACTGCTCTTATCAGACAATGGAAAAGACCAATAAGTGACAGTGATCAGGAATGTGGCCTAAAGGTGAAAACATTTTTATCATACACCTCATGGGAGCAATGAGTCAAAACGTGGGAAACATGGAATTAAGAGGAAAATCAAATGCTGCCATTATCTCATGCATTCAGCCATCATTTATTGATCACCTATTGCCTTCTTACTGATAAAGTAGGTCTGTGATAAGAGTGGAACATGCTTGAATAGGGCTTTATAGAAGTAAATTCATCAAGAAGTATGGGCCGGCCCAGTGGCGCACTGCTATAGTGCGCCGCTTGGGAAGTGCGGCGGCGCTCCCGCCAAGGGTTCGGATCCCACATACAGACCGGTTCCCACTCACTGGCTGAGCAAGGCGCGGGAGCAACACCGAGGGCTGCGATCCCGTTGCCGGTCCCGGTCCGGTACGGGGGCGACACTGAGGGTTGCGATCCGTTGCCGGACACGGAAAAAGACAAAAATAAATAAATAAATAAAGAAGTAAAACGACTGCTTTTGATTTTTAGATAAATATTTCCAAAAGCCAAGTGCCATGTTCCTTTAGGATTGTTTAGCCTTCTCTCCAGAGATCCCTAAATTTGTTTCTTTTGTAATCTATCAAGTGAAGGTTTCTGAACAGTTATTATCAGTAAAAAGATTTTTATTTAACTTTTATATTCTACTCAAAATAATATTTAAATCCTGCTGATTCCTCACTGTATTTCTTTCTCAGCCCTTTGTTGCACAAGCTTTTCTCTTGAATTATTTCAAAGGTCCATTGAGGATCCACCCTCGTGCCCACCCCAGGGCTGATGATCAAAATATTTAATCAGAATTGACTTTAGTGACTGAATCAAAATTTGGGTTTGGGTGGCAGTCTTTAACTCTTTTCTTGCTAGATTATGGAGAGGTCTGAAGAGTTCCGGAGGAAGGACCAGAGTAATGGGGTCGTGGTAGGTAGGGAGTGGCTGCAGTTGTTTACAAACTGGTACAGAAGAAGTTTAGTATTTCAACTACTGATAAAATCACCTGGTGCCACCTTGTCCCACCCCTTAATTAAGAGGATTATTTAATGAGAGGTTTTTCAGTCAAGCACCTGCCACCGCAGGGCTTAACTCTGCTTCTGTTCCTCTTAGGTGACTGGCCTTCCTCTTCAGTACCTAAAACAGTTGGCAGAGATAACTAAAACTTATTCTTTTTGGGTCAGGCTTCCTTTTTTCTCTGGCAGAAATATTACAAAATTACAAAATAGTAAATTTGCCAACTTTTTCTTGGTGTGTAGCAAGGCATAAAAATTGAAAAACATCTTATGAATTAGTTCACTTCCCTTAGATGTACTTATGTTGTTTTGTGAGATTAGAATGGCCCAAGCTTTGTATACGTTCCTAGTCCAAGCTTATAAAGGCCTTTTGTTTACAAATGATGAAGGCAGTATGTCATTCATTTTTTGTTCTCTCAACGCATATCTATTGAGAAACTTCTGTCAGCCAAACATTGTTCTGGTGATACAGCAGTGAACAAAATAGGAGGGCGAAAAATCCCTGCCCTTATAGTCAACCTTAGTAGAAGACAATAAACAATAAGGTAAATAAGCCAATTATATAGTATGTTAGAAAACTATCAAATGCTGATCATAAAAATAAAGCTGGGAAGGGAGATAGGAAATGTTGGTAGTCAAGGAGAAGCTCATTAAAAAGGTGACCTTGAGAAATGTCCTGAAGAAAATGAGGGAGTAAGACATTGAGTTATCAGAAGAAAGAACATGCCAGGCACAGGGAAAAGCAAGGGTGATCACCTTGAGGTGGGAACTCCCTTGACACACTTGAGGAGCAGCAAAAAGGCCAGTGTGATTAGAGTGGAGTGAGCCACTCCAGACTTGGAGGTAGATGTGGTCAGAGAGGTCTAGGGGCTAGGTCATTGTTGATGGCCCTCTAAGGGAAACCAGTAGGGGGTTTTGAACAAAGTGACCTAATCTGACTTACATTTAACAGGATCTTTTTTGCTGCTATTTTTTTTTTTTTTTGTCTTTTGTCTTTTTCTGTGTCCGGCAACAGATCGCAACCCTCAGTGTTGCCCCCGTACCGGACCGGGTACCGGCAACGGGATCGCAACCCTCGGCGTTGCTCCCGCGCCTCGCTCAACCAGTGAGCGGGAACCGGTCTGTATGTGGGATCCGAACCCTCGGGCGGGAGCACCGCCGCGCTCCCAAGCGGTACACTATCCAGTGCGCCACCAGGCCGGCCCCCTTTTGCTGCTATTTTGAAAAAGGATTGTAAAGAACTAATGTGGAAGTAGAGATTTGAACATTCTTGATGATGATTCAGACTCTATGGTAGCAGTTGAGCTGGATGCTGAAAGTCTTTTACGGGATAAGACAACAGGATGGACTCAAAGTGCAATGTGAGAGAGAGACAGGAGATGAGGGAGAATGGAAGGATGACTTGGTTTTTACTGAGACAGGGAAGACTATGAGAAGAACAGGATGGGAGATAGGGGTGGAGAAAAAAGGGGGATTATCACGTTTTCAGTTTTAGACAAACTAAATTGAAATGGCCTTCAACATTAAGTGGAGATCAGAACAGAGGTCCAGGATAGACGCGTAAGTTTGGAATTCATCAGCATATAAATAATACTTAAAAACATGAGAATAGATGAGATCACCAAGAGAGTGAGCAGAGATACTAAAGAGAATATATCCAAGGACTTAACCCTGGGTCACACCAGTGTTGGTCACGAGATGCAAAGGAATAAACAGAGAAAACTGAGTAGCCAGAGAGTAAGGATATGTGGAGAGTAAGGAATGTGTTATCCTCGAAGTAAGAAAAAAAAAAGCATTTTAGGAGGGTGGTCAGCTGTGCTTAACGAGTTCTGAGAAGTGACCACTAATTTGTTCGTGGTCAAAGTCACTGGTATCTTTGATAGGAATAGTTCTAATAGATCAAGGGTTGGGAAAAGTCTAATTGGAAGGGTTCAAGTGGGAAAAGAGAAATTGGAGACACAAACTACGAACAACTCTTTTAAGTGGTTTCTTGTAAATGGAAAGAAGAAAGATGCTATAGCAACTGGCCAGGAGGCATCAGTCAGCCTGCTGAGGCAGGATTGTCTTGGCGGTCTGCTGACAGTCACGTGCTGTGAGTGGGAGCAGCAGCTAGCTGTTTGTGATCGGTGACCTCTGAGGAGCTTGCCTTGGGTAGACATAGATTTTTGAAGTGTTTTTCACTGATACATTGATGCTGGAAAGAAACTGATTAATCAAGCCAGCTATTAATGTATGGTCTTCCCTTTTTCATCCCTTATTTTACATCCAATAGTGTCTCCAGATTTTTTTTTTTTTTTTGAAATATTGTTTATGAATCCTCTACATTACAAGTAGTTGTTTGCATGTCAGTCTCCCATCCTAGCCTGAGGTTCTTGGGAATGGCCATATTTTATTTTTCCTTACGTATCCATTCTATAGCCCAGCTCTGCACATGGTAGATGTTCCGTAAATGTTTATTGAATGAATGACTATTATGTTGTATTCTGGTATATGATGTGTTTGACATAAAGTTCAGTGTCTTCCTAAACTTTGCTGTTATTTTCTAAATATAGGATTGTGTTTGGTCATTTTGTTTTCTGTAGAGTCCGTGTGAAGCAGGCATAGTGAGGACAGGCTCGCTGCAGCTCAGTAGCACATCCGTAGAGAATTCATCTTTGAGAAGGACTAAGCGAAAAGCACCTTCCCCACCCTCCAAAATACCCCTGCATCAAAGTGATGAAAATAGTCATGTGACTGGTAATGTTACTTTTCTCATTAGCATTACATTTGTATTGTGTTTTGTTTCATATAGACAGTAGAAATGATGTAGGTTATAAGTTGTGACTTTTTATTACATAATAATAATATTTAGGCTTTTAAAATGAGTCCTAATTATTCTCTCTTAATTTCCTTTTTAAAATCTGTAACATAATGGAACAAAATGACAAAATTGTACAGCTCCATTATCCTAAAATGAGCATATTATAATTTGTGGATTTACTCAGAAAAATACTGCCATTCCAGGATTATAGGAATGGGAATCTAAGTGGATTTTAATCATTTCACAGCTTGATAGTAAAATGGCTTCTAGCAAGGTTAAGGTTCATTTCTTTATGAATTATATAAAAATGACTAAGTTAAATATTAAGGGATTGTTTCATTTGTGAATGTGACTTGTCTATAAGTTGTGTTGCTGCTTTCCTTTAGCCCTACAGTCAGTGGATGGAGCTTCTCCAGACAGTGTTTTGGAAGCAAATTCTCCTCAGGGGACATCCAGCCCAGGTATGATGTCTTTACTCCACACTGTGTGATTACTGAAAAGGAACTTACATGACGGCTGAGAAAGGAATCTAGTCATAATGCTCTGTAAATGAAAGATGTCCATACTCATTGGCCTCATTTCCCAAATTTCGTATCATGAAATGAATTTTCTTCTGCCCCTGGAATTGAAAATGGCAGAGATCAAAATTTCAGTTCTGGAACTGTACCTCGAATACTCTCCCTATTAGGTCTTCTGTTTTTCTTTATGCACTATCAGGTTAACATTTATTAACCTTCTTCCCAAGAGTAATGACACGTCATAGTTAGGAATATTCCTTGGTGTGTCAAGAAGAAAACTTACATGAAGGTGTAAACACAGTTTTTTTAATGCAACTCTTCCAGGTATAATTTCAACATACAAGGTATCCTACTCTAATGGTAAACATTTTTTTACCATGGAAATATTTTCTATTATATGGCCCTCATTGTGGATTTTCCCCAAATAAATGAAATTTACAGTAAAAATAAAATAATTTAGTCTAAATACTCTTTCCAATGTTTTCAGTAATAGCCACGTAGCAGCTGTTATAAAAATAAGTATGATAAAATTTCTTAATCTTTAGAGTTAATGTCAGACATGAATGAATGCGATAGACTATTAATGCCGTACCAAAATAGTATGGTATTATGCTAGTACTTTAGCCAGGGGGTAATATAAGTATGAAAATTGCTTAATATAACCTTACCTAATTTGTATAATTTATATTTACAAATACAAGAGCAATTCAGAAGCACCCACAGTGCTCTGGAATCCTTAATCTTTAAGTCATATTTAGGAATTTGAAATTTTAACATATATAAGAATTCTCCACTCCTCTGTGATTTAAAATATGATTATTACATAACTAATAATGATTACTCTCAGCTTTCACTTAGAATAATATCAATGACATCATTTTGTTCCACAAAGGAAATTTATTGAATAAATGTTAACTATTTAAACTGTATAGTGAAATTAGAAGATTCCATAGTATTAGAAATAGGTGTGCATGCTATCCAAACTTTGCTCAATATCTATTTCTCTTCTTTTTCCTTTTACTTGTTCTTGTTTAGTGCATAGGTAATTGTGAGCTAACACATCTGATTTCTTCTCAAATACTTCCTGGTCTCTGCTTGCCTTAACTCTGTTGTGTAAGTGCTGTTTCCACAGATTCCACTTCTTTGGCAGAAGCCTCCCTTGGCACTGGGCTCCCCAGTCACGAGCAATGCACTGCTCCCAAACTGATGGATGAAACCTCTCTCTCTGAGTGTCCTGGAACACCTGAGGCAGCTGTGACATCATTGACATGTACGTGGTTGGGCCTTTCCTGGCTGATGCTTTGTGGTCATACATTTTGTAGAGTAAAAGGCCATCAAGTATGGATTTGGTTACTTGTTGAACTCTTGTGTAAAAATGTTTCATAAAGAAATAGGAGTTTCCTCCTTTTTACCTGAAATTTTATCCAGGTTTGGAGTTTGCTATTTCCATATCCATGTAGATGAATATGACAAAGTGTAAGATTAATAAAATCAGTAGTTCTGAAGGATTTCAGCTTCTCTTCTATTTGGCTTTCTACTTTTGGGGGACATTGAACTTTATTTTCAATGAAAATATTTACATATGTATTCTTCATTGAACTACTTTGTTATCTGTGTGGCTTATTCTCTGTAGTACTGCTTTCAATTTTTTTTATTTTAAAGTTAATGGAATTGTTTTGCCACAAGATGGCAAAACTTTGTAGTTAGGTAATACTTGAATTTGTTCATAATTTTACTTATTTTTTCAGTGACTCAAAGTCTTTATCACCTCAAACCAGTTGTTTAAAATTAGTATACTATTACTCATTGCTTGTGGATATGCAAAATTTTGTGGCCTCTTTGGAAAACACTTTGGCAGTTTGTTTTTTTTTATAATAAAATTTAAACATTTATTTTCTATATCACCGAACAGTTTCATGCCTAGGTATTTTCTCAAGAAAAATAAAAGTCCCTGTGCACACAAAAACCTGCATATGAGTTATCATAGAGTTTTTATTCATAATTGCCCCAAATGAGAAACAACGTAAATGTCCCTAAACTGAGGAATGGGTAAACAAACTGTGGTCCATCCATGGATTGGAATACTACTACCTAGCCATAAAAAGAAACCAATTACTGATCCATACAACAGCATGGCTGAATCTCAAGTGCATTGTGTTAAAAGAAGAAGCTAGACTCAGATGGCTAGATGTTGTATGATTTCATTCATATGATATTCTTGCAAAGACAAAAGTGTAGGGATAATGGTTATCAGAGGCTAGGGTTTGAGGGAGTGGTTGATTTCCAAAGAGCATGAAGGAAGTTAGGAGGTTGATGGAATTCTTCTATATCTTGATTGTGGTGGTGATTACACAACTATATATGTCAGTCAAAACTCAAAGAACTGTGTTCCACAAATGGTGAATTTTACTGAATGTAAGTTGTGCCTCATTTTCCAAAGATAAAAACAACTCTGGTAGCAACTACAATAGTGTCCAACACAGTGAGCATTATTTGAATGAATAAGAGGAAAAAGGTAGTGCTGTGGTATAGCTTTAATTTAATACTGTTATATTTTAGCAAAGAATAGTATTTGTCAGGCAATTTTTCCATTTTAATGATCCTCAGGAAAAAGTTATAAGGTATCCCAAAAGTCCTAGTGAAATTTTAAACTTTAATAACTTCACAATTAAAATGTCATAGACTTACAAAACATCTTTTGAAAGTTTAAATATTTTCTTTTATATATATTACATTTTGAATTTTAAATTATATTTTAATCTTTTTTGTTTCAGTCAATATTTGCTATCTTCAGAGGGACTGAAAACATAAAATTCAGAATTTATAAACCTAAGTATGTATAAGAAATTTCAATAGTTTCAAATGATTTTTGGTGCATGTATTTAACATTTACATTCAGAAGTTGTAACATCTTAAAATTGTTCTAAGATTTTGGGCACTGTGTTCCTTGAAAATGAATATTCTTTCTTTAGCGCTTATGAAGCTGAAACATAATAGTTGTTATATAACATTTGCGAAAATTACTCATTGTTTACAACCCAACTTCTTTTTTATTGAAGTCATAAAATTTGGCCATCATAGAAGTTTGTTAACACATATGAAACAAACTTATTATTTTTAAAAGCTTGGAAAAATGTGTACTACCCAAACAACAAACTGTGAAAATTCTCTTTGATAATTAGGGTTTCTTTTTTTAAAGAATCAATGCCTTTTCTAAGACTTCTAATAATAGGAATGCTTTTCAAGCTAATGAAAAAATACACTTAAGCCTGTATGATGCCTGTGACTACAAGTTAAAAAAAATCCCAGAAAAATTATTTGAAAAAATTTTTGAAACAACATATAACTCATTCTTCATCCTTTAATTAACTGAGATCAGTTTCTCAATGAGGGCCTCATACTTAAAGAAAAGTTGTGTAGCTCTCAAATAACTGTGATAGGCAAGAGAGAAATAAGGATGACAATTGATAATTTGCTAAATATTACTTGAGTTAAGGTAATTTACAAAAGAGCTTAATATATATTGAGAAGTCATTTATAAAACATATTTGTATCTAAGGCATCATGGCCTTTCATTTTTTTAATACACAATTTTCAGATTTTATAAATATACTCTTACATAGATACAATATGCTGGCATAGACGTACAATATTGCACATTGGCATTACAATAACTATTGAACATGTCATGATAAAGTAACATTTGCCAAAATGTGTAAACAGTAGTCCTCCATTATCTGTAGTTTTATTTTCCATGGTTTCAGTTACCCACGGTCAACCACAGTCTGAAAACTGGTAAGTATAATACATTAAGATATTTTGAGAGAGAGACCACATTCACATAACTTTCATTACAGTATAGTGTTATAATTTTTTCATTTGATTATCAGTTATTGTTGTCAATCTCTTACTGTTCCGAATTTATAAATTAAACTTTATCATAAGTATGTATGTATAGGAAAACGTAGAGTATATAGAGGGTTTGGCTGTGTGTGTGTGTGTGTGTGTGTGTGTGTGTGTGTGTGTGTGTGTGTGTGTGTGTGTGTGTGTGTGTGTGTGTGTGTGTGTGTGTGTGTGTGTGGTTTCAGGTATCCACTGGGGTCCCTATTTTTGATATACTAAGTGGAAAAAAAGCTAGGTGGAAAACATTGGCTAGAGTATGTTTCCATTTATATTAAATAAATTAACCAAAAAGAGAAAAGGAAACACGTGAGTATGGATATCTGCTTATGTATGCACATTATGCTTTCTGATAACATACAGGAAAAGTTTTTAGAGTAAGTTGCCTCTGAGAATCAAACTGGGTGGGAATAAAAATTAATTTTCATTGTTTAGTACTTGTTCTGTTTGTATTTCTAAAAATTATATTAAAAATCTAGATCAGTGGCTCTTAACCCTGGTTGCAAATTAGAATCACCTAAGGCACCTTAAAAATTCTTGCTGCCCCCCTTCACGGAGGCTGATCTAATAGCTGTGGAGCAGGGTGTGAACCTCAGTATTTTTAAAAGGGACTCAGGTAATTCTTAAATGTAGTCAGTACTGATAACCACTGAGTCAAATTTTTGTATGTGCACTTGTAGACAGTACAGAAATCTCATGTTCTTTTCAAATTGTGTTTTTAAAATTAATTTTTATTTAATTTGCATTATTAACTTATTGCATAAATATAAAAATCATTTAATTGAAAGATATTTTTAAATGAAATATTTAACCAAAAGCTTATGAGATTAAATAACCTCTTGTTTCTACCATAAATAAAACCTAGAGTGATAGCAAATTGTTTTCAGAATTGTATGAGTCTGGGATACTCTGGTTATATGTTAACATGATTTTTCACCATTAGAAAAGTATTTCACTATTATCTTTGAACCAGAATTTAAAAGAGTCCAACTAATTATTATTTTAAAAATTCCTTCCTTGCCAGTATTTCATAGGATGAATGAGGAAAATTAATATTTAGGATTATATCTGAATTTCTTTGTAGCTGGAATAAGCTCTGATTATAGCCTGGAAGAGATAGATGAAAAGGAAGAACTGAATGAAGTGCCTAAAGATGAGGCTGAAAAGATTTCTTTGAAGTCACAAGATATTCCTTTTATATCTACTAATATAATAAATACGCTGAAAAATGATCCTGCCTCAGCCCTTGACAATGATAGAAGAGAGTCCTCACAAAACTCCCAGGAAGAAAAACAAGAAACTAGCAACACAGATGGACAGTAAGTAGTCTGTGTGCCAGTGTTGGTGGTGGTTTGTTTAATTAATAATGGACTTCTGAAATATAGATCTAAAGATGACCGGTAAGGGGATCTTAACCCTTGTCTTGGTGTTGTCAGAACCACGCTCAGCCAGTGAGCGAACCGGCCATCCCTATATAGGATCCGAACCAGTGGCCTTGGTGTTATCAGCACCACACTCTCCCGAGTGAGCCACAGGCCGGCCCTAGATCCAATATTTTAAACACAAATATAGTCGGCCCTTTGACTTAGACTCCTTCCCTTTTACTATCATTATGAAAGTGTTTATTAATAAAGTATCTATTTGCATGTAATTGTGTTCAAAGAAAATCAAATTCGACAGTTCTAATATCCCTTTGTCATGTAAACTATAACGTGATTTGTATGACTCAAAAATTAAAGTGTGTGTGTGTGTGTGTGTGTGTGTGTGTTGCCTATTAAATATTTGACATATATAGAATATTTAATTTTCAGTTTTCACTAAATGCCCCTGGAGAATTTTCAGTGCCTGGTACATGTTAACAATTCTGCATAGCAGCGTCTGATGTTAAATCACCAGCATTATTTTTATAGTCAACTTTACAATGCACAGAATGTACTCTGCACATGATCCTAGGAAATGAAAGCTATAGTCTAGTCCTGTAGCTTATATTTGGTTTGAAATGCAGCACTATGAATAAAGATGAAATCAAGCAAGCAGAATAAATCATTTTCATTGGACTTTTACTATAATTTGCATGGGATTGTCTCAAAATTAAACTATTTTATCACCAAAAAAAATAAAAATAAAAAATCAGTGAGGTCAATCTACATCCTGATTTATATAGTTGATCTTGCCAGATACAAGACTAAAATATTTCATTTTATTTCCTTTTTCCTTAAAATACAACCAATAATAAAATAAAGATACTATTTTGGAATAGTGTCTTTTTTACCAAGCTTCTTACATCTTACATCTTTTTACATTTTTACCATAGTGTCCATTTTACCAAGCTTCTTACATCTTTTCTTTGTAATAGGACCACCATATGAAAGCTAATATTTCATAGCAGCATTTCCTATCAGTTGTATTTTTTCTTTGCTAATAAATTTCCAGTATTTGGCAGAAAAAGATGATTATTTCAGTCTATCGGTCTTTGCAAATTAATGTCTATTTTCTCATCACGTGCATGCTGGTGTGTATATGTTTGAATAATATCAACATATAACGTATGATACCATATCTTCCAGAGGACCACACAATGTAGTATATGATACAGTCAATGAAGAGATGGTAGTTGACAGTGTAAGAAACTTGAAGTCTTTGGGCCCAAGCCAAGAGAATGGTGAGTTATATAAGCACCAATAGCCAACACTTTAATAGCACTATTATTTGTCAAGGACTCTTCTTAACAATTTATATATGTTATTAACTCACTTAATCTTGTATATTGACTAATTTAATACCTACCTCACTTATAGGTATATTAGTAAACTATTATTTTAGTCTTATTTTACAGATGATTGAGCCATAAAGATATTAAGTAACTCACTGAGGTACCACAATTATTAAGTGGCAGACCTGAGATTTGAACTCTGGCAATATTGCTCCAGAGTGTGCTCTTAACTATTACGTGTGCTACTTTGTTATTGTTAAATCTTAGGAATTATCTAACTTAGATCTTGGATCTTGAAGATGTATCCTTCATGCATCTATTTATGATCTGTGAGGGTACTTCAAACAGTTCCTGGAAAGATTCATATTATCTTTTAATTCTATTTTTCCATAAACTTTTTGAAGTACCCTCATATTTCTTTTTTTTAACCTTTTAACTCCCTAGTCCAAGCCTCTTTTACTTCAGAGTCAAGTTACTACACCTTGGATGAAACTTGTCTGCCTGATTTTCAAGGCCTGAACCATCTAATTATGTAAATTTATTCACCACTATTTCCTAGTTCCCAAATCAAGACAATTTCTTCTTTTTCTTATGATGTAAGGCACTCAGTTCTATCTTTAGGCCTATGCTCATCCTCTGTCTACTTCACCCATTCAATTTCTATCCAAATCCTGCCACTCCATTTATTTTGTCACTTCATGACTAGAAACCATGTGGTTTTATATTTTTGATTCCTCTGCTGTATTGGACAGTTTTGGATCAGAAAAATTACATCTGATACTTTGTTTGAATTCTTCATAGCACCTAAAAGAATTCTGATATACTCTTAAAATATATACTTAGGACTGAATTTCAGAAAAATAGTACTACACAAATAGAAAATTCAAGGAATGCACAATGGTATTTTAAGCGAATAAGGAAGTGGCTTATGAATTCTCATCCTTCGATCTATTATGTTAACATACAGAACTAGGTTAAGATTCTTATAGGAATGTCATATTCATACTTGGATAAGATATGGATAATCCTCATGTCATATATCTAACAAGGGTACTTCAAATAGTTAATGGAAAAATAGAATAAAAAGACAAATCTTTCCATGAACTTTTTGCAGTACCATCATATACATATGTATTAATATATAGGTATTTCACTTTATACCTCACATTCTATACCATTCTGAGAAGGTCTAAAAGTAAATGATTTCACTTTTTTTTCCCTTCGATTCAGTTTTTCATAGCATATACTATGATGACAATAGCATTCCTATTAAGAGATCATAATTTAAAAGCTGTTTCCTTTTTTTAAAAAAAAGGTCAAATTAAATCATTTTTGCTGAAATTTTGACATCAGGTTAATGCTAGGGTCACAAATACATTTACATAATATTTATTTGGATTTGCACATGGTTTGCGATGACCTTTGTCAACTCTCGGTGTTTTTTAGGATAAATAATTTCTGTTATCCTTAAAGTAGTTTTATCCTGTTTTCCTTTTTACCTACCCCAGACACTTAACTAAATCATCCTTTTGTCAAGGATAGTATAAGAGCTACCTTCTTCCTCTACTGGCCATCCTTGGAAAATGGCCTGGCCATTCATAAACACATGGTTAGCATCATTGTCAGAAACATATGAGGATGGATTAGCTAATAAAATCAGTGGTGATTCTAGGTTTTCAAGCCTGACAATCATTGGGAATATTTGTGAAATTATTTGTCTTTGTGTTGGGAACATCCAAAATTCTCTTGTCTAGCTATTTGAAAATATACAATAAATTGTTAATTATGGTCACCATACAGTACTATAGAAAACTTTAACTTATTCCTCCTATCTAGCTATATTTTTGCGTCCACTAACCAATCTCTCCCTTATCCTCCTCTCCCCCCTAACTATTCTACTCTCTACTTCTATGATACCAACTTTTTTAGCTTCCACATATGAGTGAAAACATGTGGTATTTATTTTTCTGTGCCTGGCTTATTTCACTTAATATAAAGTCCTCCAGGCTCATCCATGTTGCTACAAATGACAGGATTTCATTCTTTCTATGGCTGAAAATGAGTATATATACCACATTTTCTTTATCCATTCATCTGTTGATGGACACTTAGATTTATTCCATATTCTAACTATTGTGAATAGTTCTGCAATAAACATGGGTGTGCAGATATCTCTTCTACATACTGATTTCCTTTCCTTTGGATATATACCCAGTAGTGAGATTGCTGGATCATATGGTAGTTCTATTTTTAGTATTTTGAGGAACTTCCATACAGTTTTCTATAATGCCTATACTAATTTACATTCTCATCAACAGCGTATAAAGGTTCCCCTTTCTCCCCATCCTTGCCAGCATTTGTTATTTTTTGTCTTTTTGATAATAGCCATTCTAACTGGGATGAGATGGGAGGTGATATCTCATTGTTTTCATTTGCATTTCCCTAATGATTAATGATGTTGAGCATTATTTTGTATACTTGTTGGTCATTTGTATGTCTTCTTTTTTTTGGAGAAATGTGTATTCAGATCATTTGCACATTTTCTAATCAGATTATTTGTTTTTCTGCTGTTGAGTTCTGTATTCTGGATATTAATCTCCTGTTGCATGCGTAATTTGCAAGTATTTTCTCCCATTCTGTAGGTTGTCTCTTTACTCTGTTGATTGTTTCTTTTGCTGTGCAGAAGCTTTTTTAGTTTGACATAATTCCATTAGTCTATTTTCGCATTTGTTGCCTGTAATTTTGAAGTCTCTTCCATAAATTTGTTGCTCAGACCAATGTCCCGAAGCATGTCTTCTACGTTTTCTACTAGTAGGTTCATAATTTTGGGTCTTATATAAGTCTTTACTCCATTTTGAGTTGATTTTTGTATATGGTTAAGAGATAGTGGTCTAGTTTCACTCTTCTGCACATGGATACCCAGTTTTCCCCATATTTACTTCCAGATGCCTTATTCCAGTTTTTTGCCATCATGGCGTTGACTGGAAGCTGTTGCTTTGTTAACCTAGACACTGGCAAATGAGTCTTCTTTTCGGGAGGTCTGAACTAGAATCGAGAAAAAGTAGTGCAGCAAAGAGCAAGATTATGTTTTCTACTTGGACTCTGACTCCAGGAGAATAAAGATATCTTTTTCCCACAGAGAAAAAATCAAAATCAACATGATTGTTTTTGTATAATTTAATCATCCATGTTGTGACTAAAAACAAAGTCCTCTAACAGTCTTTAGCAAGACAACTTAATTAACATGACAGTTAACTTAGATTCTGTTTTTACTTCAAATCTTAAAGGTAATGTTTTCTGTTGTCTGCCTTAATTAAAACTGACATTTGCTGAGATTGTTTCTCTTTTAATGTTGGATATGAAATAAAAATACACTGGGGCTATAGAAAAGAAGGAGTCAAAAATGGAAAAAGAAAATAGTTTTTTTGAATTTCTCAATTTCTTTTTTCACATCAGAGTCTTTACTTATAAGAAGAAACATAGTTGCCTTCTATGGAGTTCTTATTCTGGGCAATATCCTATCCTAATGAGCATGTTATATAAATTATATATACATATTTATATTTATAAAATACATATTTTCACCTTTTTATATCTGAGCAAACTTAGTCTCAAAGTGGTTAATTAACATGTGGCCACACCAGTTAAGCCAGATTCCAAACTCAGGTCTCTATGAATCCAAATTCCACAGTATTTTCTCTGCATGTCATACCTGCCTTTGTATAATTAGTGAGCTGAAAATGATCTCCAGATTTCAAACCAACCCATTTCATGTTGGGGAAGGTAGGCATTAAAAACTTGAGGTTTTTTTGTTTGTTTGTTTTTACTTTTTTTCATATACTTGACAATATGTTTTCTCTCAATAGTTCAAAATGAAATAATTGCCTTTCCAATGAACACAGAAGATATGAAAAATGGAGTGCAGAAAACAGAAACCAATGTAGGAGGTGTTGCCAAAAATAATGATGTGGACTTGGAAGTTGACAAACAGTCAAACTGTGAGACACATAAAATTGATACTACTATATGTTACAAGGAAAATCATCTAGTAGCTTCATCAGTACCAGATCAAAAACTGAATCAACCCAGTGAAGAAAAGACAAAAATGCAAGATGCAGCAATTCAGACAACCCCTTCCTGTAACAATTTTGACAGGAATCACAAAGATCATAATTTCTCTGACTTTAAAGTTGATGAAAGTGTGCAAACTTCAAATAACAACAAATCAACTCAGCATTCATCCTTCATTCCACAAGATTTTGTAGATAACTCAAGAGAATTCAGGAGTCAGGGCACCCTAATTGTACATTCAGAAGATCAGCTTACTCTAAAAGATCCAATTTGTGCCCGTGGTAATGATGATCTTTTGCCTCCTGTAGATGGGATTGATAAAAATTCAGCTGCTTCTTATCTAAAGAATTATCCACTTTACAGACAGGACTACAATCCCAAGCCAAAACCTTCAAATGAAATTACAAGAGAATATATACCTAAAATTGGAATGACTACTTATAAAATAGTGCCTCCCAAGTCCCTAGAAATATTCAAAGACTGGGAATCAGAATTCATAGGGTATAAAGATGATCAGGAGATACTGACTTCAGGAAAAACACACACTCATGAGAATGTGAGAGAAACTGCCATCCAGACAGAAGACCTTGTGATTTCTGAAGTCCCAAAGGAACCGCTTCCAGACCCTAAACCCAAGGCTACCTTGAGAACAGAGCCTCAAGTGCACAGTGCTGTGAGTTCACCTGATGGTGCCATGGCTAATCCTCTGACACATATTCCCAGAATGACTAGAGACACTGGCACAGCTCCTTTTGCACCAAATTTGGAGGATATAAATAATATTTTGGAGTCAAAATTTAAATCTCGGGTTTCAAATCCCCAGGCCAAACCAAGTTCGTTTTTCTTGCAGATGCAGAAGAGAGTATCAGGTCACTATGTGACATCTGCAGCTGCCAAGAGTGTCCATGCTGCCCCTAATCCTTCTCCAAAAGAACTAACAAATAAAGAGGTGGAAAGGGACATGCTGCCTTCTCCAGAGCAGACTCTTTCTCCCTTAAGCAAAACAACTCACTCTGCTCCACAACTCCATATTAAAAAAACTGATGATGACATCATCAGTCACAAGCCTGCTGGAACCTCTCCTCCTCCCATACCTCCAAAACCTGTGCCTCTTCCCACTGCTCAGGTAGCAGCACTAAATCTGAAGACTTTGAGAACTTTCGGTGCCCCACGACCGTATTCAACTTCTGCTCCTTCACCGTTTGCTCTTGCTGTAGTAAAAAGGTCACAGTCTTTCAGTAAAACACATACTGAGTCATCCAGTGAGGGTGCATGTGCCCAACCTCCACCTGACACAGAGGAAGGGAAGACTCGGTCTGTAAATAAATTTGTGGACATCCCACAACTTGGTGTGATTGATAAGGTAATGTTGCCTTTGGAGAAATAAGTATTCAGGTTCTTATACAACATTTAACAATGTTCAGTGTTGCACCTGAGGGTTAACAAGCATGTTAATATGTCTGTGTTACTTAACTCTGAATTCATATTCATCTGATATCAAGCTATTACAGGGAAAAGAGTGGTAATACATAGAATCTAATTAAGAATTATTGTAATTCATATAACTTGAAGATATTAATATAAGACCATCATTATATAATTGTGTCATTAGCAAATGTTTTAAAGTGTTTCATACATTTGTATAGTTTACTACTTTATAGTTCTGCCTATTTTCCAGTGTTTTGCTTATCTTAATTTGTTTTTTACTTTTCTGGATGCTCTGGTTTACTCTATTTTCTTCTTCAAATTTACAGTACTATGTAATAGCAAAATAAATAGTTTTAATTATATAGAAACATAAGCAGTGTCAAAGACTATATAAAATGAACATCTCTCAGCTATGCATTTTTCATTATATACATTCATCCTCAGCTTACCGAACATTTTTAGGTATAAATAATTTTAAAATGTAATATTCTTAATTCTTTATTTTATTAATTCATATCTAGTTTTCCAGTTTTATGTGTGTTGACCAAAACATCTACTAACTACTATCTAACCCTAATAATTTGTTAAAAAGGGGTGTTGACTTAGTGTTTGGTCAACTAAGTGTTGTATTTTGCTAGTATTGTATTTTGCTAGTATTTGTATTTTGATAATACAGTCATAGGAGAGGATGAAATTCACAGCATGGATCATGGTAATCCACTTGCCATTTTTAAGAAATACGTTGTGTACTTTTACTTTGATAGTGTTTAAAGAATACTTTCATATTTATGTGACAGTTCCAGAAGTATTTTATACTACTTTTTCAAACATTCCTAGAGAGAGAGAACATTAACCATATTGCCAAGCAAAGGTTTTTCCAAAATTTTAAAACAGTATTTATCTTGAAGAATATTTCTTCATATATTTTGCATTTATGTTTATTACTTTGATATAGCATTAGGAGAAGATGTATGAAATTGAGATTAATTTTTTACGGTGGAATAAAGCCTGCATTTTTTCTTGGAATGGAATACCATTCCTAAACAGTGGAAGCTTGATTTAGATACTACAGTTTTTGAGTCATTGCCTGAGCCCTGTTTAGCTCATTTTTTATAAAGATATTTATTTGGCAGTTTAAAAAATAAATTTTTAAGGTTACTTGATAACATTTGCCAGTTAAATCACTTACTAAATATTCCTTCCTAAGAAGTGTAATTAAATTTTTGATTCTTCAATTTGGAAGTTCCTTAATTTTATTTTTAGTCTCAAGGGAAAAACAAAGAAAATATGGTTAGCACTTGGGTCCTGTGACTTCCAGAAGCACAAAATAAGCTATTAAGTTTAGCATAACCGATGTTCTTTTATTAGAACATACGTTAGATTCAACCAATATGACATTGTTACTATTTGACTTTTGTACATTATACTTTCAAAATAATAAATTCATAACCCAATATGTTGGAATCATGAAAGTGTGTCATTTTTTAGTTTGTAGAATTTTTTGATTATTTGGCTCTTCTAGCCAACTCCATGTATTGGTGAAATCAGTCTTATTTAACTCAAGCACAGTAAAATTTCCACTGTATTTATGAAACAAAGAGAAGTATTGCTTTTCTTCCTTAGCCTTCTCAGTTCAAGAGAAGGAAGGATAATGCCCTTATCTTCCAAATTAGCTCTGGCAGCAGAGATCATTCAGTGGGTGAGGAAACAGGGCTGTGTCTAAGACACCAGTGTAGCAAATGGTGATTCTTAAAGAACTATTGATGATGAATATTTTTTTTTGCAGAAATGGCCCATTCTTCCTTTGGTATTCATGTAAATATTTTGTCTTTATTTTTGTAGGAAAATAACTCTGCACATAGTGAACAGAATTCCCAAACACAGACTCCAACTGACTGCCCATCATTCACCCTTAAGAGACAAAGTTCCTTAACATTCCAAAGCTCTGACCCAGAACAGATCCGACAAAGTTTGCTGACTGCAATCCGTTCTGGAGAGGCTGCTGCCAAATTGAAAAGGGTAAGTTTTCTTTATCAGATGGTGACAGTGGGTTTATTTTCAACATTGTCAAACTAACGGGAAAAATTTTTCTAGTGTTTAAATCTGAATAGAGATCCAGAAGTTACTCTTTGATGTCACGGGTCATTTTTGAAGTATAAGCTGAAAGAGTCCAGAGTCTTTTACATACGTAAAAACATGTCAGGTCTGTTTTCCACAACATGGGCCAGGTGCAGAACATGGGTTTTGTTCATTATTATATAACTATATATAGAAAGGGTCCTGGATTCTTATTGTAAGGGATTATGTTAGCACAGCAAGAAAGATTCTTTTGAAAATATTTCCCTATTTCAGAAAAAGTGAAGTAGTAATAGGAACCTAAAAGTTTTCAGTTATATCTTGTATTAGTCCGTTTCTGTTGCTTATAACAAAATACCTGAAATTGGAAAATTTGTAAAGAAATGGAATTTATTTCTTACAGGCCCCTGGTGGATGGTGACTCTTCACCACAACACAGGGTATCACATGGCAAAATGGCTAAGTAAGAGAGAGCTGAGCTGCTCGGTTGCTCTCCTTTTAAAGCCATCAGAACCACACCCATTACTGCATGAATGGATCAATCCATTCATGGGGACACAGTGATTACAACCTAATCACTTCTCTAAGGCCCCACCTTTCAATTACCATAATAAGATCTCCCACCCTCTTAACATTGTCACAGTGGGGATTAAATTCCAATGATCTTTGGGGGGACATTCAATCCATAACATAGCTCCTGCAGTGATCAAAGTTACTAACATGTGGGGTTTGGGGGAAAGTTTTACAGGTTAAACTAAGAAAAAGTAGAGAATATCTAGAGATTTGCTTTAGATGAGAGCTAATACAGAAATTCAAGACTTAATAATGCCCTGCCAAACTTATCTCGCTCCTCCTTACTGAGGTATAGGAGAGCATCAGGAGAAGGAGGTATGTTTCTTCTTAGAGAAAACACCAAACAAGTGTCGCAGGGAAATCTTGGCAGGTAGGTTTCCTCCCTCTGTCCCTTTCATCCACTGAAAGGGAACACAGTGAAGCTTTGAGCAAGGCTCATCACTTAGACTTCCCAGAGGCAGTCATCTCCCTAAACCTCTCTCTCGTTCTCCCCTTAGTCCTCCTGGAAGCACCTCAACAACCAAGACAGGAAAAGTACTTATTATTCCACTGACTCCCTAGGCATTTCATTTTGTAAATTCCTTCTCTGATCATTTTAGAAGCCATTTAGAGAAGAGGAAGAGACTTGAGCAAAACATTGAGCTCAACAGAAATTAAATCTGCAAAGGATCAAGAATGCTGCAAAGATAGAAAAAAAGGGGAAAGGCATCCCAGGCCTTTCAACCACAGCAACACTGGCCAAACTCAATTGCTCGAGCCAGTTACCTTTGTGTGTTTGTGTGAAGCCATGAGTGATAGTCATTCTTCCTGCAGAGGACTTGGCACTCCCATCTAGGCAAACACAAAGGCAAGGCAAAATATTGGGTGCTGTCAGGAGTGGAGAAAGCAGGAAGGAATAATTCAGGGGATTAGGTTTGAATATTGTAGATTATTTGTAGAGTCTGCATTTAGGTGCCAGGCGGCATAAAATTTTGGTATAGCTTTGAATACTGAAATTGGTATTTTGCAGGTTATGACAAATTTGTATTTTTCAGGGGGTGGGGGATATATGCCCACGTTAATAAATTGTACTATCTCACTTAGGAAAAATTGTCTTTTTCTGATCTTTTAAGTTAAGGATGAGTTTCAAACCAGTCATTACTGGTTTCTCAGTTTAATAAACATGACAAGCATTTTTTAAACACATAAGTACCAAGCATTGCACTAGACACTGGTAATACAAAAATTAATAAAATGAAGCCACTGCCTTCTGTGCATTCATAGCCTGGGCCCGGGAAACGGTGTTGCATCAGGCCCAAGTAACTACACAGAAACTTATTGCAATGTCTTTGTACTAAGTCAGTGAAAATATTTGATCACTTTCAGTGAACTAATTGAAGAAAACTGTGCATTAAGTTGGAAATGCCTTTTAGGCCAACAGAATTATACAGGCCAGCTATACAGATACGTGCCAAATACGGGCCCTGATTTGGCAGTCTTTCACATAGAAAATTCTCCTTGCTTCCGGAATGAGTTGGGTATGAATCAACACAGAAAGCAGGCCCTAAATGATGATCCTATAATTGTATCCTGTTTAAAACTCATTACTTTAGGTTCTACTGAGTCTAAAATTTTATTTCTTTGAGTAGGAGATTATTGATAGCTCTGAGTGTATGTAGGGCCAGCTCCTAAATTTTTTAAATGAAAAATTTATGCATGATCTATTTAATTTTACTAAAAGTGCAGATAGGGTTCACATTAAAGTTCACAATATCCACACTCCATGAACAGTATTTTCACTTCTAGTTATCCTAAACATTGTGTTTTTGTATACCAAGACTCACATATAACAGTGTTCCTGGCATATTGTTTGTAGTAACTCCAAATAAACATAACCGTAATACTCTAAAATAGTAGAATAAATATTAGTATATTCGAAGAATGGACTATTATATAGCAATAAGATAGACAAAATAGAGCAAAACTCAACAATGTTGATAGAAACATACAAAAATATATATGTGTAAAGTTTGACAGCATGCAAAACTATATTATTTAGTGATGCATGCATAGGTGAAAGTTATTTTTAAAAACAAAGATGTAATTATAAAAATTATGACAGTGGTTGCCTCCAGAGGGGAAGAAAAGTGGTTGTTGAGGGCTTATTGGGGTAAGGAGGACAAGCACACAGTTAAGGAGGAACCAAAAAACTAAGTAATTAATCATGATAAGTGTTTTAGTGCAATATACTTAAAATATCCAAATTAATGCAAAAATCTATAATGAAGAAAATATCAAAATTTAACTAAAGACAAGATGAGTAGGAGGCTGGTGATATTCTTTCTGTTGACCTAGGTGGCAGGTTATATACATGGACGTTTGCTTTCACTAGGCTGTATATTTATGTTCAGTGCACCTTTCTGTACATGTATTTCAAAAAATAGCAAATATGGTAAAAATGGACACAGGCAGTCTCTTAATTTCTTGTGGGCTTTGCTTAAGTTCCATGTTTCTGTCCTGTACCAAAGATTTCTCCCAGTTTCTTTTAAATTCTGACTTTTTATTAATAGAACAACAATTATATTGCCAAGAAAAATCTCCAGTAATTTTGACAGTAGGTTTAGATTGTGCATCAGAAAGTTGGCTCTCTGTTTGCCTAAATCTTGGCACCCAAATGTTCAATTTAACTCCAGGTACCAACTTGCCTTATGACTCTGGTTCTTACCCAATTAACCATTATAATGGTTGGTTCACATTAGAGCAATTATCTAGTTGATTGCTCTAGTATAAATGTAGTCATGAACATGCCATGTTTTTTCATGTTCTGAAGGGTTTTCCCATACCTTATTCCCATTCAACCCCATGTAGTCACAGAGATTAGTCATGTCTTCATAAAAGCATTAATACATCTAGCTCAGTGTTTTATGAATTGTTTGATATTAAGATTTATATATGAATCAGCAAATTATTTACAGAGAATAAGATGGATTAAGTAATCCATTACCATCAGCCTATGTTGACACAAGAACTTCTTTGGCTGTTTTCAGTGCTCGATGGTTACTAAATTACTAAAAATCAGGTTATTACACTATTACAAAGAGAATATAAGTTTGTGAAAATAAAGTCTGGCAATAAACTGATGAATGATATTTAGCACAACTTACTTTGGCTAGATAGAAGCCTGGAGGGAAGGAAAAAACTGGATAAATCACCTAGAATCTTGCTAGCTTGTTTTGTTTATTTAAATGGAGTGCTTTGTATTCATATTTCCTTAACTTAAATTTGAATATCCAAAGGGTTTCAGGTTGGCATCTCTTTCCGTATTTTTTTAAAGTAAAAGTAAATGAATGTTTCACAGTTACTTTCCTTATGGAAATAAGTTACGTGAACATTTCTGAAAATTCTTTAAACTTCAAGGGTGGACAGGAAACTGCTAATGCTCACATCAGTAAGTTCTTAAATGTTATTTTTTTAAAAGTATTTTTGTTATAAGTGTAAGATGTTCATTGTTTAAAAAATTCAAGCAATACTTTTTTTATTTTATAAGTGTTTGTGAAACATTCCTATATCCCATTCAAAAAATATTGAGTATTATACTATGTCAGGCACTAAAATAAACATTGGCATAAAGTGGCATTAAAATAGACAATAAAATAGGCATTAAAAGATCTCTGTCCTCAGGATTTATAGAACAGTATCCTAATGATGTCATCTCATGTTTAAAAGTTTAGGGAACAAATTTTTAAATATCAAAGGAAATGCGGTTTTTCTCCAAAAGTGACCACTCTCAATAGGTTGCTGTGTAAGCTTCTAGACCACTTTTGTACTTTTGTAAATGTATTTAGTTTACAAAAACGGAATCCTCTGGAAATCATTCATAAATTTCTTGGAAGTTTCACCTCTTACTACATACATACTTACAGTATTTTTTACATAGTATTTGACTATATGAATGTTAACATATCTTTTTTGCTCCTTATCGATAGACATATAACTGGATTCTATATATGGTGCTACAGTGAATGTTAAGTGTAGACATTTGGAGCCATCAGTATGTTTTTTATTTTTGTTTTTTCTGGATTTTGGCAGCTGGCCAGTAAGGGGATCCAAATCCTTGACTTTGGTGTTGTCAGCACCACACTCTACCGACTGAGCTAACTGGCCAGCCCATCAGTATGTTTTTTAAATTTATTTATTTATTAACATTATTATTTTTTTACATTCTAAGATGTTGTGGAGCAGTTGGAGGGGAGGGGAGGAGGGAAAGGGGGAGGGAAATAGGGGCATCGCTAAGGCTGTCAGCCCCCCACCACCCTGACTTGGGAGCCTTGGGAACTTCTGGCAGCTGCCTGGTGGTCATTGCTGGGCTCAGTGCGGTTTGGGGTGGGGGCATGTCTGATGCCCATGGCCCTCTCCCCTCCCCGGGTTGGGAGCCCAGGCAGTTTCCAGTCCTTCTAGGTTTTATAGGTGTCCTTTGGTAGTGGTAAACCTTTACTGGTTAATATCAAAATTTGTCTCTGGTCTATAAGTACTTTGTTTTTTCTTTCAGTTTTGTGTTGGATTATTCACTGTTTTTACCACTTAAACTCTGCACTGGAATTAATTTGTTGTCCTTTGGTTACTTCTAAAATGGGGGAACTTCCTGTGGGGACCAGTGCTTGAGCCCTGTAGTTGAGCTAAATTGCTGCCTTGCAGCTGATTATCTGGGGAATTCTTTTTGTGCCGCTCAGTATTTAATGGTTGATCTTATAAGCACTTTCAGGTCTGGTGAGATCTGGTACACCTGGGTCATGTGGAAACTCGGGTCTGGGCCTGAGTCTTTTCAGCAAACTGTACCCCCTGCAGTTCTATATTCCTGACCAGTCTCCACTGAGTGGTTCTGTGCTGATTGGAGGGCAGATCAGCTGTCCATGCTGTGTCCCAGTGTTCCCCTGGTGGGCCCATCTCCCCCAGCACCCATACTCCAAACATTTCCCATGGGGCAGGCTGTGCGCCGGTCCTTTGCAATGACTCACCAACCTCTGAGTGGCTTCTTTTTTCTGTTGTCTGTGTCCCCTCGCTCCTATGTGGGTCCATGGGAACACTGTTAGTGGTCTACCTGGCCTGCAGATGGAAGAATTTGCCATAAAAGTTTGAAACTTAAGAATTTACTTACTGAAGAAAAAAACCAAACAAACCTCCTTTTCTTTCTGCAGCTGTCTTGGCATAACAGTCATAGATTTGACTTTTTTTTAGCTATTCATTTGAAAGCATTTTAATAACCAAGGGATGTTTTTTGTTTTATTTTTTAATAAATAAAGAATCACTGGGAGGAGAACTTCAAGTTAACATATACCATCAATACAAAATTTATAAAATTCATTGCTTTGTGGAATTCACTTAATTTTTTACATGCTTCAAGGCAGTTTTGGGGAGCCAGAATTAATCTAGCTAAAAATGCTCTTTAACAGCTTGATCTGCAGTCTGTTTGTGCTTTTGTCCTTTGTGTTGATTTGGTAATTTTGTAAAGACTAAGATGTGTTAATGGATTATTTTACTTGTTTGTTGTGGAAATAACTTTTTTTTTTTTAATTTCATGGTAAACTGAACCTTTACTCCTGATTATTTGTAATTTATTGAATAATAAATACTAAATGTTAGCATTTACAATTAAGTAGAAGTTAAAATGTGGTAATGGTTGAAAATATAGAAAATTAGACAGCTGTCCCATTTTAAATTGATTGGTACAAAGTGTGTTTCTTTCTCTTAGGTTACTGTTCCATCAAATACAATATCTGTGAATGGGAGGTCGAGACTCAGCCATGCCATGTACCCTGATGCTCGAGACAGCCGTTAAATGTTTCCCTGCCATATTGCACTTTCCCACTTCTACTTCACAGATCAACCTCATACTAACGGAGAATTTTGTCAAATGTATATTCAGATGTACACTAATATATTACTATTAAAGTATAAGAATGGTATTATGGCTTTTACTGCCAAAAGAAGAATTACTAGAATTTATAATTTATAAAAAATTTTGGGATTTTTTTGCCTTAAGAGCTGAATATGCTGCTTTTGAACTATAAAACAAGGTGTAAATGACTTTCATTTGTTTCAAATGAGAAATTATCACTCTTTATTGAATTCACTTACTCATATATTCTTTACAATGGTGACTAAGACAAAAGTATATGTTAAGATTTATAGACATATTTGTAGGACACGTAGCTAGTCATATGTAGATCTGACATTTGTTATCTCAGTGTAACCATTTAATTGGAAATGTGTATGAAGTCTGCTTTGTGCTGAAAGAATGATCTAGAAAACTAGTGATAACAAATAAGTACATTCAATACAAGAGTTATTCTCAATGATCACTTAGTGTGTAAGACTTATCTTGTGCATTCTTTATGTTGTTACAAATTAATGATGAAGTTACGGGAAGTTCATAGTATTTTAATATTTTGTTATTATGGAACACTTGGTTTTTTCATCTTTAGAACTTAAATTGCACAAGGAGAGTTTTAAATATTTTCTGTACGTAATTATGACATAATTGTCACACAGATATTACACATTTTATGTGCCAGAAGCCTTAAAAATCTTCCTGTGAACATGTTGATATATTGTGACAGTTATTTCACATTTTATATGTAGAGAGGAGCAGGGGTTAGTTTATGTCCATATTGGAAAACTTTAAAGACTATTTGGAAGTCCCAGAAATCCTGGTTTTAATTCAGTTAAAAAGATAAAATAGTCATTAAATAGTTCAGATGCTAATATTCTAAATAATATATTTACATTAAAACTAAAAGTGTTAAGCAAAACAATGCCTAATTTGTTGGCTTATACTATTATGAGGTCTAGAGCTTGTGGGTACCCTTTTCCTGCTTTAAGAGTTTATTTGCTCACTTATTCTAAATGCTTTGTTCAAGCAAGCTGATATTAAGTTTATTTTCACTAAAGCTACTGGGATATCTGCCTCTTTGGAAAATGTGTTGATTTTTTTTTTCCTGTTTAATAAAATCTAGTTATATATTTGGGATGCTTTTTAAAAAAGATGTAGTTTGTGTCAACCAGCATATTTATGTACCTTAACTGATGAACACATTTCTATCAGCCAGTGAACAAACAAGCAATAGTAAGACCTATTTAGCATTTACATTTATCAGGACTCCCCTAAGTTTAAGCCCTGGCGTTCTGACTCCAAAACCATGGTCTAAGTAGGTAAAATGTTCAGTATAGTTCCTGACACATAAAGGCATCTTAAGTGCTAAATGTTGTTGTTTTTCTTGAATCAGACTTGGAGGGACCCTTATATATAAATAGTTCAGTTATATCATTATAAACCAGTAGAGAAAGTGAATTTTTGAAAAATTATGTTTGTATGATTGATTATCCATTTGGCAAAAAAAAAAAATTTGGATCCTTATTTCAAACCATAATCAGACATATTTGAGTTGGAGTAAAGACTTACCTTTTTAAGGCAATATTTTAAAACTTAGAATATATTCAGCATTTTTAGACCTCAGCATGTGAAAAGTTGCTAAAAACAAGACACAAAGGCACATTCATAAAAGATAGATATGTTAAACATAAATACAGTAAAATTTAAAACTTATATGTACATTTACCTACTTAAAAGCAAAAAGATAAACCACAAGTAAGATGTTTTGAATATCATAAGAAAGGGTTAATTTATGAACACACAGAAATTAATAAAATAAAAATTTATGAAAATATTAAAATTCTTATAACTCATGAAAAGACTACCCAATAGAAATATGAGCACACTGAATAAACAAAAGATATTTTTTATAAGAGGAAATCCAATGGCCAACAAACACATAGAAAAAAATCCCCTTCCCTGATAATCAGGGAAATGTAAGTTAAAAACACAAAGAGGTATCACACCAAATTAGCAAAAATGGAAGTTTGAAAATAAGTGTTGTCAAGAACATGAACCATCAATTTTGCAATATCTGGTAAAATTTAAGATCCCTAACATATTACCTTGAGGTACTTATGCATGTGCATAGGAGACATCTACAAAAATGTTCATGGCAGCTTAGTGTATAACAGGGGTCCTAACTGGTGCTCAACCTTCGTAATATATTTATATGAGTATTCTACACAGTAGTCAAAATGAACAAGCCAGAGTTATGTGTGTCAGCATGGATATGTCTCAAAAATAAGGAGAATAACAAGCTGTGGAACAAGGCATGTTTTATGACATCAGTTATTTCACGTATAAAATATACAAAATGATATATTATGGCTATATATGGAGAGAAAATACATTTATTGTGGGTTACCCATGGGAACCAAGAAAGGAAGATTGAATTAAGATTTACAGAAGGCATCAATTGTATTTGTGGTATTTTATTCTATAAACTGCTGTTCAAAAACAAGTGTGTGTTGTACTCTAGATTCTAGTTTGCCTGAAATACTTTATAATTAATGTTTTAAAGGTCACATAAGAGTTAAGGGGATATTTATATGAACCATTAATACACATATATTCTGAAAAGTTTCCTTATCCACACCATTTTAGAAGAACATGTGCTACACTCAATTGGGAAAAGAAATTTGTGACAAGTAGTTTTCACTTGTCATATCCTCAAATAATAGCCGAAGTAAGATACAGGAATGATGATCTAGATCCAACTTTTGATTTTCATATTTAATTTTGGCATCTGGGAATTTTGCTTTTTTTTAATTCAAGTTTATATTTTAAAATTATAATTCAGATTTTATATAAATTACAGGGTATAAAATACCTGCTTTTTTGTCCCCAGCATCCCATTTCCCTCTCCAGAGATAACCACTGTTAATATTTTGATATGAATCCCTATATAAATGTATTTATATCCACTACATATCTATAGGTTTGGGGCTTTTATATTTTTGCTTTTTTTTTCTCCTTAATATAAAAAGAGTCATACCTTAATACTATTTAGCAACTTTTATACCAGCACTGTTCTGGGAGAGCTTTGCTTTTTGCACATATAGATCTATCCATATTTCAGTTAGCTGTTCTCTAAGTGCTTCTTAATTCCAGTGTTGGCTGGAGTCAAGATACTTGGGTTCAAATCACAGTTCTGTCACTGTGGGTCATGGGATCTTGGGCTGTAGAGCTAGGGCTGGGTCTGGAGATCACAGACCCCTCACATCCATTGTCTAGACTAGGTCACAAACCCCTCACATGCAAGTCTATGAGCTAGATAACCGGAAGAAAGGTCCTTGGAGCCATAGGTGAAGAGAGAGTAGTCTTTATTCAGCGTGCACGTGCACACATGCACACACACACACACACACACACACACACACACCTGAGAGCTAGGCAGTCCAAAGAGAAACTCAGAAACTCAACTGCTACCAGCAAAGTCCAAAGAAAAACTGAGCAGCTGCCAGCAAAGTAAACATGCTTTATTTTAGACATGAGCTCTCTGCCATCCAGCAGTTCAGGGCCGCTGCTCCACACAACTCTCAAGAACACATCAGAATAGCAACAAAACTAGAAAGACACATTGGCATGCGTGTGCACTAACTCCACCCCCCCACACACACAATTTGCATACACCACACCCAACCAGGCCTGAGGTGAGGGGGCCTGACTAAACTATTTTCCCAACGTGGGCAAATTACTTATTTTCTATGGGCCTCATTTTCTCCTCTGAAAAATTGAATTAGTAATATACCTACCTTATGAAGGTGCTTTAGGGATTAAATGAATTTTTTAAAGTGTTTGACACAAAGGATTCCTTTTAAAAAGTTATCTACTTCTCACTACTGTTTGTGAACAGGTATCTAATATACTCCCCATTCTTCTGAGGAGTGGCCCTCCCTCCCATTTCACCTCTTCATATACTGCCAGATCTGGCCTTGGCCACCGGACATTGGCAACAGATTTCACACTCCGCTGCTTGACCCATGTCCTTGAAATGAGATTAGTATTTTTCCTGAGATCTAAAGTTGCTTATAGTTGGAACTGAAAGAGTCCCAACTGATACAATTACTTGCCTAATATCAGTTTACTTTTTACCCACTACACTAGGGAAAATCAGTACAAAAGAACTAAGAATCAAACTCATTTTTACTATATTGATTTTGATAAATGACTTGAAAGAAAAGAACTTTCAATTAGAGGTCACACTGAAGATTTCCATCATCAGAGTGGTTTCTCTGAGATGATTTTTGATGTTAAAATAGCTCATGTTTTAATGCTGTAGAATTTATACAGGATTTTTGTTATTTGATCCACATATGAAACAAGGTGCACAAAGAGATCGCTATTTTACAAAGGTCACACAGGAGGCAAGTCTCAGATTCTCACATCCGATTTCGAGTCTGCTCTTTCCAGTGACTAAACTTAGCAAATGATGAAGAAAATGGTGCTAGATTTCAAGGGACACCAGAATACTAACCTGGTTGCCCTAGATCTTCAGTCTGTCTTTCCTCTTAAACAGTACCATTTTCCTGCAAATTTTCATTCTTAATAAATACCTCAGGCTCTTCATAGACATTTTGTCTATAGCAAGAAAAAAATGCCACTATGTGCTCACTTAAAAGAACTTTTCTGACAAGTATTTGGAGAGGAATTGTGGAACGTTCAGGTAATTTGTATAGAACTATTGGCATTTCTGCTTTACAAACTGGAAACATTCATTCAGATGTCTTGTAAATTTCTCGGAGGAGGAAAAAATGCTACTGTTGCAAACATTTATAATTTTCAGAATGAGCAACTTCTTTACTCCTCATTTTATTCTTATGTTTCTACCCAGCCCTCATGGTGGAATATTGTGGCCGCAGTTCTTTACCTCTCATGCATCCATACCTTTTGTCAGGTGACATTGCATCTCCTTTTACTAATGAGTTAGAGCCCATTTTGCTGCCCATGGAAGCAGGTTTTGTGACTAATAGAATGGGGCGAAAATGACACTGTGCCTGTCCTAGGTCTCGAAGGTTCACATGTTTCTGCTTGCTTTCACTTTACTGTACTTGAAATGCTGCTGTGAGAAAGACATCTTTGGGCTAGTTGAATGGTCCTAAGAAAAGGATGAGAGAGACAGGGAGCAGAGCTCGCAACTGAGGCCAGCCTAGACCATTCAATCCCCAGAACCCCAGACACGAACAAGTCTCAACAAGTAGGCCCATACCCAGCTAAGTCAAGCGACCAAAAGGTGGTATTATGGAAAAGAGTAGCTCAACTCATGCTCCTCGGTAGTTGACCATCAGAGAAACACTCAGGTAATGAATGAGGAAAGTTTCACAGTGAAGAAACCCTTTGGATAACTTGTGTTGGTGGGTTGCAGATACCTTCGAGCCCTCAGAAAATAATGTCCTTAAGAAATTCTACTAATGTCCTCATTAGCCTCAGCATTACTTTGATGATAATTATGACAGTTGTTAAATCTTGGTGATGGTGAAAAATCTCTGACTTTTCTGCATGTTTGAAATTATTCGGAATAAAGTCAATGAGTAAGTTATGGAGACTCCTATTACAATAGTCAGATGCACTGTGCACATGAGGGTAGGGAGAGATTTAATTAGTGGCCGTTTTTTCCCCTTCCACCAATTAAGAATGTTGGTCAAGTCAGGGTAGGTGATGTGAGGCGAGTATCAATTTAACAAAAGCAGCACACTGTTAGCAAAGTTTATTGAAGGATGTTGTGGTTCTGTCTTAACTAAAAAACATAAACTCAAGATCTGACTGAACACAGCATTATTTTTAAGAGGGAGGGAGAGAAGTAAGGAAAATAAAATTTGTTAAGTACTATCTATGCACCATTTACTCTGCTAGGTGACCTTTGAGGTAGGTTTTATCATCCCGTCTTACACATGAGGCTCAGAACATCTAAGGAACTCACCTAGCGTGCTGCTGGGATTAAAGACAGATGTTTGATACCCTGGCTTCGTTTTTCCACTATACTCTGCTGCTTTATTCCAGTCATAAGTGTGTACTTTAATATGACTATTAATATGATCTTTAATAAGAATTATCTTTAATTTTTTTTCTTTTGCAATGAGTATCTCTTGTAGA